GGACGAGCTCCCTGCTGGGGACCTGGTCCTGGCTCCCAAGCTTAATGCACTGCCCACCTGGGCAGCATCCCCAGTCCTGCCCAACTTCCTCCCTCCTTCCCTCTCTATGGGGGCCTGAATCCCCACCCCAACTTACCTGCAGGAGCTGTTCTCCCCTTTCCCGACTGCCCTCCTTCCGCTGTCCCCAACCCCTTGCAGGCTGGAATTCTGCCAGCCTGCAGAGAGCTCTTTGCAAAACTGCAAAATCCACAGGTTTCTCCGTTAAAATGAGAAATCCATGGTTTCCTTGGGTAAAGGGGAAAATCCATGTTTTTCTCCAGTTTTCCATGGGAAATGGAAAATCTGGATCCCTGTCCATAATTCTGAAGTGGTCACCTTTATATATTAAATAAATTCTATGGTTATGTTGGATGTTGGGATGCTGTCAGCTTGCTTTGTTTCCCTGGTTCCTGAGGCCTGCTGTAACCTGTACCTGCTACCTATGATACCTTTCTTTGTGATTTAGTAATTCCTCTGCTCATTTTTCTGTCTTAGACATGGGACTATCATCAAGGAATGCAGAGAGAGAGGTATAAAGGCTGTCAGTGACATCTCTGTACCTTCTGCATATTTCTGCCATGCTGTGGGCATGATCAGATGGCTTTCCCTTGCTTTTGTGACACTGGAGATGTGGAGTGGAATTGGACAAAGAATCTGATCTCAAATCTGTATCTTGGGAGAATGGTGGTAGAAAGCTTTTCTCAATATGGGTTTAGAATGGCTGCATAAAATCTATCAGATCAATGATAATATTATAGGGAATGTAAGTAGTTACACTTCTATTTTAAGTTGACTGACACTTTCCATTACAAAACTATGTTTTCAGTTGCATATGACTTTTCCAAATATAAGCCATTCAGCCTGAAATTTTTCATGCTGGCTGTCAGCCATAGCCTGAAGGTTTTGCAAAGGTTTCAATTTAAGTGGTTCACTTGTCTCCAAGAATGAGGCAATGGATGTGTGTGCTGTTTTTTTTTCTTAAAAAAAAAAAGCTCATACAGTATTATATAGAGAAGTTGCCTATCCTTTTCATGCTTTGGACACTGACTTCCAAGGCGGCCAAAGAGATGCCTTGTTAGGAAGGAACCTGTGAAAATTTGCCCAGCTTTGGCCAAGTTACAAGCCACATGTTTTGTCTGCGTTGAGGTTGATCTAGCCCTGCACCTCTGACTGTCCTGTACATTGCCATCCATCACCACAGAGCAACTGAGTCAGCTATATCTCAGGGTCTCAGCAGGACATTCCCTGCATTTGCTTTCCCAGCTGCTATGGCAGCTGCTTTTGCATCGAGGTTGGAGTTGAAAGCAGGGACATCGACTCTCCCAGTGCTTTGAGTCTGCCTTGTGCAGATGTTATGGGAGCAAAGAAGTTACCAGATTGGAACACACAATTGTGCAGAAGGGGAGGTGAGGATGGGAGCTGGATGTGGTAGT